TATCAAGAAAACTTATTTTAAATTATCAATTAAATAAGCTTTATATCCATTGTAATTAGTTACGATAATATTGATTATTTTTGGATACAATAATAAGAACTAGTGTAAAATCAAATAAAATAAAAAATCGTTTTCTTGATTTTCTACAACTTTTAATTCAAAAGCAGATTTTAGATATTATATCAAACATAATTTCTACCATTGAAACGAGTAATAGAAAATATATTTTAAAAGTTATTTATCTTCGATAACTAACATTAAAAGATAAATTTTCATAAAGGTATAGCATTTCTACCACCAAAGTCTTTAATTGACGTTATATCATATTTTCTAATATTGACGTCTTTAATAATCAGCCCTATTTATAATAATTTAATTGAAAAAAATCAATCTAATCAGAAATTATTACGACGATATGAAATCAAATTATAATGATCGTAGTAACACTCAATCTGAGAAGTTAGTATTTCTACCACCAAAAGCAGATTTTAGATGTTATCTCAAATCATGCCATGTAATTAAAGATTTCATTAATTTCCACATTAATCTAAGACTTTGCTTAATAATATCTGTTTAGATTAGACGTGTCTGAATTACTGAGTTCATGGGATTGTATTTTGATTAGACCTGTCTGAATACAGTCCAAAACTCCCTCAAAATATTGTTGAATTAATTTAATTAGTCAATCTCTAATGTAATGTTCCCATATTTTTTTAATATCCTAACTTTTAATTCAAAAGCAGAGACTTTGAATATTATTTCAAATATGAAAAATATTTAGATATAACTCAAAATTTAAAATATTATTTTAGTTTTAAAAAATAAAAGGAAAAGATGAGATGATTAAATGAGTCAATGATTAAGCAATTTTACCTCAGTGACGAGTCATTTTCTTAATGTATAGTCTTGTCTAATTAATGAGTTGATGAATTTGAAGTGGGGCCCCACGTGACACAACAATGACATACATTCAATAACAGATAGATGAAAGCTTTGTGACAGACACCGACAACAATACATAAGTCGCCAAGCACCAAATTAATTAATAATTCACAAAAATGGTAGTTGGAAAACCATTTTCCCTTGTATTACTTGCTCAAATCATATATTAATTAATTAAAGAATTTTACTTATATTTTCCTCATTGTCTCCGTTGTAGAATTTTAATTAGGATGTCTAACCATTTAGACTTTTGTTTACACAATGTGTCTTTACTATATAGATTAATTTCACAATTATACACGTTTTCTTTCTTTTAGTAGAATTTATGCCTAAAAAAATGTATAAGAGCTTTTTGTATGATAATAACTTGAAAAGAGTATTCAAAAGAACTGTTTAAAATTTGAAATCTGATGTAAAATAAAGTGATATTTATTAGGTAGAAGTAGCTAGATCACCTTCCAAGATTGACAGCCCAACCATGCCAACATTATATATAATTATAACAAGTATGAAGACAGAATATCCTCTTCTAATTCTCCAAATATTTTTAATTTGGTACAGCCTTCTTCCATGGAAATTAAATTATAAACTATTTATTTATTAGAAGCATGCAAAAGACGAAGTTAACAACCAACACATTTTATTATTTATTATTATGCCGACAGAAACATGCCCAAAAATCAAAAACTCTACACATTTCCATTATGACTCTTCCAATTCACATAGAATTCAAGTTTGATGTGTTCTTTTATTTATTTATTATTATTTTTTTTTTAAGGTATGGTTTTAGAAAAAGGAAACCCTCTTAAATAAAACACCATAAAAGAATAAATATTAATTATATGTATACAAAAATATATGTGTCATTTACAATCATTTGATAAATAGTTAAGTCTAAGCGATTTTCGGAAAGTATTGAAATATTTCTTTTGTTCAAGAATTTTTTGAATACTTGAAGGGTTATAATTCTAGCCGGGTATTTAATAATTTTCAAAAATCATTAGATGTTCGAGATTTAATTGTCTCTAACAGGGAGAAAGAAATTAACCCTAATTACAGCTTAAAATTAGAAGATAATGCTTTTGATTCAATATATTAATAATTTAAACTAGGGTTTATAGAATCACCAAATGGATGATGTATATAAAATTGTATACGTTGTTTGTGATGTCTCCTCGAAAGCGTATCGGATGCTAAAGTTTGGTGCGGTACCAATGAGATCTCACAACTTTATTCTTAATGATATAACATATAATAATAAAAGATAGCTTCATAATTATCATATATTATAATTCCATTTGCATTTTTAGACCAAGAAAAACAAGTGCACTTATTTAAAATGGATCAAAAAAGCTAGAGAATCATAATGGGTCAATTATGAAAAAGATCACATAACATATTTTATATAAAGAGAAATTACTTGGAACATTGAATGATCAATTCATGCAAATTCTTTTTTAATTAAATAAGCAAAAATTAGAAGAACCCAAATGAATGAATGATATGATTATTAGAAAGTAAGTCAACAGTCTATATAAAGTGGCATGGCTGCTGGTCTGTTACATTGGGCACCTAATTTTTGCTAGAAACATTATAATTTTGACTAGTTTTTGATAATTTTTTTTTTTTTTATTTCTGTTGGTAATTGGGGTGTTTAGGCCAATTTATATACACTTTAACTAATTTCCGAAGTCTATTGAACATCTTATAAACTCAAAGGATCATGTAAGCCAAGTTTTTGAAAAATGAAGGGGCACATTGTCCTTATTCTACGTATAAAGATGAAGATACTGTTTAAAACTTTTAATTATTAGATAGAGAGAATGTGGGGAAACTTTTTTGGTCAACCTTGAGAGTTAAGTTTATAAAGAGAAGAAGAGTGTTAGATGGGAGAGAGGTGTTGTGTCCATCTCAAAGCAACAAAAGATGATTTCTGAAAGAATTTTACAAGGAGAAGTAAAGGAAACATCATGACTAGTTTGGATCATAAAAATCATATCCCAAATAGTAAATGGTTGAGTGGTAAATGAAGAATAGATGATGTACCCGTAAATTCAGACAGGTTTTGAACAGTAAATTTTCAGGTGCGAAACAGAGACAAACTTATGAATTCATTTTACGAGGGCAAACTATAACTAAATTAATATACATACGAAAAAAGTAAGTGAATGTGGTCAAATCTAAGAACATTAACACAAATACTGTCCGGTTAAAACAAATAACTAAGCAAAATTAATGAACTTTTTTTGGTGGGATCACCACCCCCCATTGGTCCCTTAATAGGTCCGTCCCTTGTGTAGAGTCCTACTTCTAAATTCCAGTCTTAATTATTTGGATTTCTATAATTTTCTTGCATTGTAAAAGTTCTTTATGTTTCGAAAACAAGATGTTGATAAGAGAGTATATACATAGTTTATGGATGATTATACATGTTGTGCGGTAAATCCCTGAAGCATGGATTCACGCCACGTGTCATTCTTTGTAGATTAATTTTATTTATAAGTTTGTCACTGTAACAGTATATAAATATGCTTTTTACTCAAATTAGGGATCTGATTTTATTCATATTTTGTAAGCCGTACTTGCACATAGCAAAAACACAGAAAACAATACAAGAACAGTGGAAGTAGGATTTGCATTGAGTATTCGAACCACTTTAAAAATCTTTTCTTTATGCTATTGTTTGATTTATTATCTATCCATTAATCCAGTATTGAAATCACAAGTTTTATAAAAACTTTTACGTAGATTCCACCACAGATCTTACATACTTCTCGTTGGTACAAATGACTGCATCAACAATACATATATGAGATTTAACTGAAGATATTACACTAGATGAATGGTTGAGTCATAGGAGTTCTAGTTTTCTACTAGATATAAAGAAAAGAAAAATTGAAAAGCAACAATCTCATTCAATTGGTCTTTTTTGTTGATTGTATATTTAGGATGGTTTAGTCATGGTTGATGGCACATCAATTTTGGTATAATTTTGGTTGTGTAGAATACAAGCAACCAGTTATTCCTTTAGCGACCAACCAAAATATTAGGTCGAAATTATTCAAAAAGTCACAAACTACACATTCTAAATATACATAGACACCCAGTTTCAGTTGTCTCAAATTATGCATCATTGGGTTTCAACTTTGTGATATTTATTTATTTATATATGGATCTTTTTACATTATTTATTATTTTATTTAATTTTTTGTGATATTAGTGATAGTTCAGTTGTTGCACATGTGTGCGGTCTATATTTGTCATTTCATTTTTTATTTTCTGGAGGACTAGTAAATAATTTCTACTACTTTTTTATTCTAATAATTTAGAAAGAACAACGAATGAATAATGTATGGGGATGATTCTAGGAATTATCGTGCATAAGTATTTTCATTTTCTTTTTAATATTCTTTAGCGTTGTAACAATAAAGGAGAACTGAATAGAATTATGTGAATCAGAGATGTATATTAATATTTAGTTAATTAAGGGCTGCAGCCTGCAGTTGCATTATTCAGAAAACTAGATGGATGGATTGATGAAAAAGCTACAAATAGGAAAACGATAAGCTAAATCACCCAATTGGGTAGTCGAAAGAAAACGAATAAATTAATGCTATCACTTTCTGGTCCAGTAGTGTGAACAGTGATATTGGACCATCTTGGAAAGAATGAGATGTGAATCTTAGCATTACAATAATAAATAATAAATTATATTATATGCCCTTATAAAATGATTATATGATACGCCAACTTCCAAATGATCCGATCTGATTCTTCAGATTCTATTATGGACTTAATTTAATCACCCGTATCAATGATTCATCAGCTAATATAATTGTATTTTAAATTAAAAATTTGTTTTCATAATAATCGATTGAACATTATGATACCAAAATTGCATTCTAAAAATATGAATGTGAAATCGAAAATCTTATCTACGGTTTACACAACAAAAATAGTGCCAAAACTTTCATACTTGGAAATTAACAACAAATTGAAATGTCCCCAGAACGGATCATCAAATGAAATCTGACTAACCTGATTTTCTTGTACGAGCCGCTCTAAATTCAGCCTCTAATTCCTTCTTTTACCTGAAATTCTCAAGCAAATCATCATGATGCTACACATTTAAAGTTTTCTCTTTGTACAATAATTGGTACGGCTCAATAAAGTTATATTTCCAGCAAAATTTCATGATTCCACCATGGGTGATGTAAGGCATAAGTCTCTTAGAGCTTCAGGCACAGTCTGCCCACAGTTTTCCAAGATCTCAATCAATTCTCCCACATGCGGTGCATCATCTTTAGTAAGAAAGCTATGCAATACGCCCCTGACAGTGTGGCGGGCCATGCTTGTCAGAATTCGAACATAATTTGTGATTGATGTAACAAAATCTGGGATTATTACAACTTCATATTCAGATAACTCAGCCCTGCTAATCTGTTCCTCGTCAATTATTGAGATATCGGGTCTAATTCTGTTGTCAGCATCCAGACTGGAAATTAAAAAAAAAAAAAATTATGTACCACATAGTATTATAGCATATAGTATGTACAATATATTTGCAAATTCTATGCCAAACTATATATTGATTTAGCTACTATAGCATGATACAACCTCATGATGCAATACCATTATCGATTTTGTGAAACATCATAGTGATTCTCCTTAACCAAAATATATAGAGGGCGTTTGATCCAATGAATGTTGAATTACTGGGAATGTTGGATTACTGAAAAGTTAGATTACTTTGAAGATTACTGGAAATTTTTAAGAAAATGTATTTGATTAATTGCTGGGTATGTTATATTAATATGTTTGATTGGGAGGAATAAATTGGTGGGTATGTTATTTAAATTACTAAATTGTCCTCTAATTAAATATTATTATTTTTTAATATAAATTATTATTTGGATTATCATAACCTCCCTGTATTTAAAAACTTAGCAAAAACAACCCCATAATAAAAGTTTGAAAAATCAACAAAGCACCCCCACCAACCTAGCCACTATTGGCCTCCGGCAACCTAACGGCGCACGGAAGGCAGGAAATGGCCTCCGTGCACTGTATGGTTATTTCCGACTAGATATCTGCTCGAAAATGGCCATATCGACGCACGACAGCCATTTTCGGCCTTCTATGCACCGTTCCGCCGGCGGCGGCGGTTGCCGGCGATAGGTGGGTGAGGGTGGTGGCTTGAATGGACTGTAATTTGTTTTGAATTTACGGGTAATTTTGTCCAAAAAGTTAATTAATTGAGGTGAAATAGTAAAAACCATATTCATGTAAATAAATTTAAAAATAAAAGCATTATTGTCCTAAAACTTTATTAATAAGAGATAGAATTGTAACAAAAAAAGATAACCCTAATAATCTTAGAATACCTAAGAAAATGAAGGTAATCAAATTACCTCCAATATTACCAATAGTAACCACTATTAGTATTTAAAGATCACCGGTATCTTATATTCTTTGAAAACCAAACATGGTACTCAAGTAATATAAGATGACTTAACCCCAGTAATCTCACATAACACCCAACCAAACCCCCTCATAGTGTTATTCGACCTTCTAGTCTCATGTAAAGCAAATTTGTTGCTTCTAGATCCAAGACTCCAAGTCATCAAAATTGACGCCAAGAAAATCTAAGTAAGAGTGAAAGCGTTTATGATTAGAGGAGAAGGGTTAGTTCTAAAGCAACGAAAGGCATAGTACTTCCATTTGGATAACTAATGGCCAGTATAGCAAGAATTTTTAAGGTTTAGAATCAGCAGTAGTAACTACCAATTCCAATCTATAATGTAAAAGGTTATGAATAAAGCAGCAGTACACAATTAGGGGTTGCCAACTCACCTGATATTTGCTTTTGAAACGATAGAATTTGAACCCACTGAGATGGAGTAACCCTTTAAGTTAAGGGAGGACACTAACTTTTGAAACCTACTGTCTTTCCCAGCAACATACAGCACCTTTAAAGGCTGAGAAGAGAGATGGTTGGCATACGCATGATCCAACAATTGGATGCCCTGCACAAAATCATCAATGATAATCTGATACAGACCTCAATCAAAACAACAATTCCAGCCGCTCAAACACTCACAAATCAGTAATCTCAACAACCAGAATTAATAAGAAACAAAGGATTTGAATTATATTGATATAGATTGTGAAAAATAAAACAAGGAATTGAAATATGAGAAAACAATAATGGAAAGAAAAATGCCCACTAGCAGTTCGAGGAGCCAGCAACCTCCCAACAATATTTCCTTAAAAAACAAGCTGAATGAATCATGAAAAATAGTCTCCCTTATAAGCACTCTCGGCACCCCACTAACATTCTTTAATAACAGGACACGAGTGCCTACTAATCTCACTAGTTCTCACTGCCTTTATTTCCCCAAGTGGACCTTCTCCCCTGCTTGGTATACTGTTTAGTGATGAGTGGTCTATCATAAGCATTAAGGAAAATGCAAGTTAAAGAATCACCACCAAACACTATAAAGTTAATTGAGAACATCATATAAATATATAAACAGAAAAACAAGGAAATGAAAAAGCTACCCTCATTATAAACAGACATTTGCCAGATTGCCTAAAGTATATTATACAACTTGTGCATTTTGGATTATTTCCTGAAATCTGTCACTACAGGAATAGTCCCTATGTTCAAAAGGAAGAGAAACTTTTGATAAAATTATACTAAATTTTGGATGACAGACGAGAATCCAAGCAGATGATGATTGCCAGACCCAGCTAGAGACCATGATTAGGTGTTTTTTTGTACTGTAGTTGAACGTACCATAGTCAAGACCAGCAACACCAATACTTGGAGAGCAGCAATAATATTCTACCATTTTACTATTTTGCAAGTACCTTAACTTTTTAAGTCATTGGATGGGAGTGCATTCAAACACTTAGGTCACAAAATAGCAAACATTCACCTGAGAGGGGCCAAGCTAACAATCGGCATAGTTATAAACAGAGCACTAGCCACCAAATTGCAACAAACAACAGAAAAGGTAAGACTCCAATCCTTCAGGATCGAAACTAGCACATGAATTAACACATGAGCATCGAATGGGAAGACATGTACTTAATCATGAATAAATCCATTGATAAGAAACTATAGAAATTGTATTAATAATGAAAGTGAGATAAAATTACAGAAGGGGATCAACAAACCAATAGAACACTACGTCACCAAAAACTCTAAACCAACAAAAACTCTAAACAAAGAAAGTAAAAAGCACTTGTCTACAAATCCAGTGTGAAACTTTATGTGTTGTTTTCTATGTACGATTTACTTTCTTAATCTCTATTATTTTTATACTTACTCAATAGAAGCAAAAAAGAACTTCAAAACCTAAATCAAGGCCTATGCCTCTCTCTCTCTCTAGTTTTACCTACAAGAGCCTCTTCTGCACTTAATATCACTTTTCTTTCAAATACAATACTGGAAAGAGGTAAATCATAAAAAGAAAAGAAACATTCCCAGCCATAAAAACAAAAACTGAATGGCACTAGATAAATTTGCTTCAGACTCCAGCAAAAGGCATGGAAAGTATTTAGACATTTTAACGCACATACCTTCAATAATTTTTCTTCCTCTGAGGCAAACACACTAATGGATTGGATGATGCAAGAGCTTTGACTGGAAATTGAATCATTAAGAGATAATCTATAAACTGATCCAGTCAGAAGATTTTGCACTGCTGGAACAGAGGCATAACCAAGGCAATCACTGAAAAGCACAGTGTGGGGTTTTCCGGAAATAGACTGCCTGATGGAGTTCACAGTACTAAGATGACCACCATTACCAAGAGATTGCAGTCCATCAACAACCTATCCAAGTATCGAAACAACAGATAAGACAGAGATGATAGAACAGAAATATTACAATTAGATATACTTTCTTTTCCATGGCAAATAATTTATGGACTTTCACCAAGCAATATATATTCATATAAAAACCATGTTGTCGGGATGATGATTATGGACAGGTTTAATACTCAAAATTAAAACAGAACTGCATATCTTTCTAGCATTGCTTTTGCAGAGCACTCTTCGAAACATAGTGCATTAATCATAGCACAATGCCGATATATTCCCTGCCCAAGCATATATACATATAATAAGAATGTAAAAAACTGAAAACCACAGTGTGGGGTTTTGTAGAAATCGACTGCCTAACGGAGTTCACAGTACCAAGATGACCACCATTACCAAGAGATTGCAGTCCAAGAACAACATTTCCAATTGTCAAAACAACAGATAAGACACAGATGATTGAAAAATTACAATTAGATATACTTTCTTTCTTTTCAATGGCCAATAACTTATGGACTTTCACCAAGCATTTATATTAAAAACTGTGTTGTCAGGAAGATGATTATGGACTTTAATAGTCAAAATTAAAATGGAACTGTCCATCTTCCTAGCATTGGTTTTGCAGGGCGCGCTTCGAAACATAGTGCATTAGTCATAGCACAATGCCGATACATTCCCTGCCCAAGCATATATACATATTATAAAAATATTAAAAGATAGTGTTGCTGGGAAGATGAGTGTTGACAATTTAATTGCCGAAATTATAACATAACTGCTCATATCCCCTGCATTGATATTGCAGGGCACGCTTCAAAACACAGTGTGTTAGTCATAGCACAATGCCGATACATCCCCTGCCTAAGCATATATACAAATTAAAAACCGTGTTGCTGGGAAGATGATTTTGACAATTTTAATTGCCGAAATTAAAACACAACTACTCATCTTCCTAGCATTGATTTTGCAGGGCATGCTTCGTAACAGAGTGCATTAATCATAGCACAATGCCGATACATTCCCTGCAAAGTCGTCTAAAAAGAATCTTGCTGTCTAATGAATAACAAAGAAAACTTAAATCAGGATCTCTGTTATGTGTGTGAGAGAAAGAGGTAGATAGATGTATTCACGGGTTTTAGCAAGTACATTATACACTCTGATATACATACAGATAACTTTTAATATATAACTACATAAAACAACGCACAGAAAAATTTATAGACAATAGAATGCAGCAGGAGAGAACACCAACCAAACTGTTCTTTCTCAACAAAGAAAAAAACAGTCGGATGATTAATTACAAAATTAGGTAAAATAACAGATTCAAATTTAATATAAATTAATCAATAATTTCATCATTAATGGGAAAAATTCATGACCAGTTTGTATTTGATTTTCCAGAACATATAAGATAAAACAGTACCAGCATAGAGACCCCAGAAATATCTATGGCCTTCAAGGAAACAAGCTCAAGAAGTCTCTCAGGAGTGGAAACAAGGAACTCAGGCTCACAACTCTTCAAACTACACAGAAAAGAAAAAAAATCAATGAGAAACGGAAAGAGGAAAAAAATCAGTTCAAATCATTTCAAGCAATAAAAAAAAGCATCAACAATGAAGGTGTGGGCTATTGACAGCTATATTCATACATATGTTCACAAGAGAGCATGCAAATAAGGTAATAAAAAAAAGTAAACCCCAGGAAAATATGCACACAGTGCAAATAAACACACTAACAAAGAGAAAGAGTGAGAACTCCTATGCCATGGATAAGGAATTACGCAACATCCCCTCCCTTAGCCATTATACACACTATTAATAAAAAGCCAAATCATGCATCATGGTCAATTTACTTTACAGCAGCAGCACTAAAATAGTAAATTGCAGCAAATCCAAGTTGTATTCAGCAGTTAGAAGCAAGAATTTCCAAAACAAGAATTGTGATTCTATCACCAGAATATTTGGCATAAGGCTGAATGAAATGAAAGGAGGGAATTTAACATAAAAGTGGGTCTCATGTGTGACACAGCAGCAACTGACATGACGCATAGACAAGATTGTCTAACATTAAAATTAGCTATATCTTATCAGTGACATTAAAAGTACTAGAACAAAAAGTGTGGGTTTTTAGTATAAAATTACCCATTAATCTGGTGATCTAAGGCAGCACCAGGATGCAGACTCACTGTATGAATTCCCAATGGTTTCAAAGGCTTGCAAACTGAGCGTACCTGAGAATGATCAAGGAAGAATCATTAAGCAATAAAAAAGATGGAGAATAAGTTCCCCTATACCAAAGCACCAAAGTCAAAATTCAGTTTAATCAATTCATGAATAAATTTGAAGTCAGAAAAAGTGAGTTTGTTATTACATGGAAATAAAATCATACCAAATTCAATTTATTTTTCACAAATTTGAAAATGAAAAAAAAAAAAAAAAAAAAAGTCACAGGTCTTCCCTTTATTGTATTTGAAATGAATCTGTATCAAATTATGACATATTAAAAGCATTGCCAAAGTACATATTTTAAGTTTAAAGAAAACAAAGCCAACGATAGCATAAAATGCTACCAAAAAAACATGTCAACAAACTAAGTAGCACACCAACCTTAGCAGCTTTTTCTTGAGATGGTACAAGGAATAAAAGGAAGGGGCTGCTGAATGAAAAACCTTCTTTCTCCTTTCTTGCAATATTATCAGCAGCTGTAGAAACCATCCATGCAATTTGCTCAGTGGTAGAAGAAGACCCACTTGTCTCCAATATATCCGTTTCAGAAGAATAACATCTCCAGAAATCAATTCCCCAAGAGTTGACAAACAAAGGCTTTCCCTCCTCAACACTGTAGGTACCCTCATGATGCAATGCATTCTGTATGGCATTCAAGCACAATATAAGAAACTTTGATGGACAGTCAGAGTTTTCAGAGGCTTGTACTTGATGACCATTGGCAAAACCCTTCCCATTCAGCTGAATCTCTGTTCTTCCAAAGTTAATAGGGCTTCTCAGCCCCATATTATCTATAGATGTAATTGACTTTGACTGCTCATTCTTCAAATTTATAACCTTCTTGTTTATTCGTTCTACACAATCTACCATTCCATTGTTCTTGCCATTAGTTCCTTTCTTCAAAATATCACTCTTGCCCTTAACAAATGCCTTCTTATCCGCTTGCAAAGGCATTTTCTTCTTGGTTTCCTTTGTTTGAAATTCCTTCTTACCATGCCTATCATTGAAGGGATCATCAGGGGTAGGAAGGCTAAAACACATCCCCTGCAATATAACGACAAAGTCACATATACTATGTTCCTCAAGGACCTTTCATATTTTCCCTTTGATTCAATAAATCTGTATTTGCTAGCAACAATACTAAAAAACAAAAATAAATAAATAAATAAATAAATAAATACCACAATCAACTGAAGTACTGAACTGTATATTCTCATAGCAATAATTCAAGAATCCAAGTACAAATGTTATCATTATAAAACAATACTAATCATCAAAAAGTACAAAATAACCAATCCAATCGGAAATCGCCACTCATTAATTTTCTTTCACTCTTAATTACACTATCAAAAGCTAACAATCGGCATAGTTATAAACAGAGCACTAGCCACCAAATTGCAACAAACAACAGAAAAGGTAAGACTCCAACCTTCAGGATCGAAAATAGCACATGAATTAACACAGAGCATCGAATGGGAAGACATGTACTAATCATGAATAAATCCATTGATAAGAAACTATAGAAATTGTATTAATAATGAAAGTGAGATAAAATTACAGAAGGGGATCAACAAACCAATAGACCACTAGTCACCAAAAACTCTAAACCAACAAAAACTCTAAACAAAGAAAGTAAAAAGCACTTGTCTACAAACCAGTGATGAAACTTTATGTGTTGTTTTCTATGTACGATTATTTCTTAATCTCATTATTTTTATACTTACTCAATAGAAGCAAAAAAGAACTTCAAAACCTAAATCAAGGCCTATGCCTCTCTGTCTCTCTCTAGTTTACCTACAAGGCTCTTCTGCACTTAATATCACTTTTCTTTCAAATACAATACTGGAAAGAGGTAAATCATAAAAAGAAAGAAACATTCCCAGCCATAAAAACAAAAACTGAATGGCACTAGATAAATTTCTTCAGACTCCAGCAAAAGGCATGGAAAGTATTTAGACATTTTAACGCACATACCTTCAATAATTTTTCTTCCTCTGAGGCAAACACACTAAGGGTTGGATGATGCAAGAGCTTTGACTGGAAATTGAATCATTAGAGATAATCTATAAACTGATCCAGTCAGAGATTTTGCACTGCTGGAACAGAGGCATAACCAAGGCAATCACTGAAAAGCACAGTGTGGGGTTTTCGGAAATGACTGCCTGATGGAGTTCACAGTACTAAGATGACCACCACCAAGAGATTGCAGTCCATCAACAACCTATCCAAGTATCGAAACAACAGATAGACAGAGATGATAGAACAGAAATTTACAATTAGATATACTTTTTTTCCATGGCAAATAATTTATGGACTTACCAAGCAATATATTCATATAAAAACCATGTTGTCGGGATGATGATTATGGACAGGTTTAATACTCAAAATTAAAACAGAACTGCATATCTTTCTAGCATTGCTTTTGCAGAGCACACTTCGAAACATAGTGCATTAATCATAGCACAATGCCGATAAATTCCCTGCCCAAGCATATATACATATAATAAGAATGTAAAAAACTGAAAACCACAGTGTGGGGTTTTGTAGAAATCGACTGCCTAACGGAGTTCACAGGACCAAGATGACCACCATTACCAAGAGATGCAGGCAAGAACAACATTTCCAATTATCAAAACAACAGATAGACACAGATGATTGAAAAATTACAATTAGATATACTTTCTTTCTTTTCATGGCCAATAACTTAGGACTTTCACCAGCATATAAAGACATATATTAGAAACGTGTTGTCAGGAAGATGATTATGGACTTTAATAGTCAAAATTAAAATGGAACTGTCCATCTTCTAGCATTGGTTTTGCAGGGCGCGCTTCGAAACATAGTGCATTAGTCATAGCACAATGCCGATACATTCCCTGCCCAAGCATATATACATATTATAAAAATATTAAAAGTAGTGTTGCTGGGAAGATGAGTGTTGACAATTTAATTGCCGAAATTATAACATAACTGCTCATATCCCCTGCATGATATTGCAGGGCACGCTTCAAAACACAGTGTGTTAGTCATAGCCCAATGCCGATACATCCCTGCCTAAGCATATATACAAATTAAAAACGTGTTGCTGGGAAGATGTTTTGACAATTTTAATTACCGAAATTAAAACACAAACTACATCTTCCTAGCATTGATTTTGCAGGGCAGCTTCGTAACAGAGTGCATTAATCATAGCACAAGCCGATACATTCCCTGCAAAGTCGTCTAAAAAGAATCTTGCTGTCTAATGAATAACAAAGAAAACTTAAATCAGGATCTCTTATGTGTGTGAGAGAAGAGGTTAAAAAAAAAAAATTATGTACCAAATAGTATTAGAGCATATAGTATGTACAATATATTTGCAAATTCTATGGCAAACTATATATTGATTTAGCTACTATAGCATGATACAACCACATGATGCAATAACATTATCGATTTTGTGAAACATCATAGTGATTCTCCTTAACCAAAATATATAAAGGGCATTTGGTTCAGAAAATGTTGGATTACTGGAAAGTTAGATTACCTTGAAGATTACTGGAAAGTTAGATTACCTTGAAGATTACTGGGAATCTTTAAGAAAATGTGTTTGGTTAATTGATGGGTATGTTATATTAATCTGTTTGGTTGGGAAGAATAAATTGATGGGTATATTATTTAAATTACTAAATTATCCTCTAATTAAATATTATTATTATATTATTTTTTAATATTGATTCTTATAACCCCCCTGTATTTAAAAACTTAACAAAAATAACCCCATAATAAAAGTTTGAAAAGTCAACAAAGCACCCCCACCAACCTAGCCACTGCCGACCACCGGCAACCTAACGACATACGGAAGGCAGGAAATGACCTCCGTGCGCCGTACGGCCATTAATCTGGCCGAAATGGCATCATTTGGCCATTTCCGACCAGATATCTGGCCGAAAATGGCCATATCGGCGCATGGAGGCCATTTTCTGCCTTCCCTGCGCCGTTCCACCGACAGCGACGACTGGTTGCAATTGTGGTTGCCAACGGCAAGTGGGTGGGGGTGGTGGCTTAGGTGGGCTGCAATTTGTTTTGAATTTAAAGATAATTTTGTCCAAAAAGTTAATTAATTAGGGTGAAATAGTGAAAGTCATATTCATGTAAATAAATTTAAAAATAAGGGCATTATTGTCCTAAAATTTTATTAATAAGAGATAGAATTGTAACAAAAAAAGATAATCCTGATAATCTTAGCATACCTAAGAGAATGGAGGTAATCAGATTACCTCCAATATTACTAATAGTAACCACTATTGGTATTTGAAAATTACCGGTATCTTATATTACTTAACAACCAAACATGATAATCAAGTAATATAAGATGACTTAACCCTAGCAATCTCACATAACCCCCAACCAAACGCCCCCATAGTGTTATTCGACCTTCTAGTCTCATGTAAAGCAAATTTGTTGCTTCTAGTTCCAAGACTCCAAGTCATCAAAATTGACGCCATGAAAATCAAAGTAAGAGTGAAAGCGTTTATGATTAGAGGAGAAGGGTTAGTTCTAAAGCAACGAAAAGCATAGTACTTCCATTTGGATAACTAGCATAGCAAGAATTGTTAAGGTTTAGAATCAGCAGTAGTAACTACCAATTCCAATCTATAATGTAAAAGGTTATGAATAAAGCAGCAGTACACAATTAGGGGTTGCCAAATCACCTGATATTTGCTTTTGAAACGATAGAATTTGAACCCACTGAGATGGAGTAACCCTTTAAGTTAAGGGAGGACACTAACTTTTGAAACCTACTGTCTTTCCCAGCAACATACAGCACCTTTAAAGGCTGAGAAGAGAGATGGTTGGCATACGCATGATCCAACAATTGGATGCCCTGCACAAAATCATCAATGATAATCTGATACAGACCTCAATCAAAACAACAATTCCAGCCGCTCAAACACTCACAAATCAGTAATCTCAACAACCAGAATTAATAAGAAACAAAGGATTTGAATTATATTGATATAGATTGTGAAAAATAAAACAAGGAATTGAAATATGAGAAAACAATAATGGAAAGAAAAATGCCCACTAGCAGTTCGAGGAGCCAGCAACCTCCCAACAATATTTCCTTAAAAAACAAGCTGAATGAATCATGAAAAATAGTCTCCCTTATAAGCACTCTCGGCACCCCACTAACATTCTTTAATAACAGGACACGAGTGCCTACTAATCTCACTAGTTCTCACTGCCTTTATTTCCCCAAGTGGACCTTCTCCCCTGCTTGGTATACTGTTTAGTGATGAGTGGTCTATCATAAGCATTAAGGAAAATGCAAGTTAAAGAATCACCACCAAACACTATAAAGTTAATTGAGAACATCATATAAATATATAAACAGAAAAACAAGGAAATGAAAAAGCTACCCTCATTATAAACAGACATTTGCCAGATTGCCTAAAGTATATTATACAACTTGTGCATTTTGGATTATTTCCTGAAATCTGTCACTACAGGAATAGTCCCTATGTTCAAAAGGAAGAGAAACTTTTGATAAAATTATACTAAATTTTGGATGACAGACGAGAATCCAAGCAGATGATGATTGCCAGACCCAGCTAGAGACCATGATTAGGTGTTTTTTTGTACTGTAGTTGAACGTACCATAGTCAAGACCAGCAACACCAATACTTGGAGAGCAGCAATAATATTCTACCATTTTACTATTTTGCAAGTACCTTAACTTTTTAAGTCATTGGATGGGAGTGCATTCAAACACTTAGGTCACAAAATAGCAAACATTCACCTGAGAGGGGCCAAGCTAACAATCGGCATAGTTATAAACAGAGCACTAGCCACCAAATTGCAACAAACAACAGAAAAGGTAAGACTCCAATCCTTCAGGATCGAAACTAGCACATGAATTAACACATGAGCATCGAATGGGAAGACATGTACTTAATCATGAATAAATCCATTGATAAGAAACTATAGAAATTGTATTAATAATGAAAGTGAGATAAAATTACAGAAGGGGATCAACAAACCAATAGAACACTACGTCACCAAAAACTCTAAACCAACAAAAACTCTAAACAAAGAAAGTAAAAAGCACTTGTCTACAAATCCAGTGTGAAACTTTATGTGTTGTTTTCTATGTACGATTTACTTTCTTAATCTCTATTATTTTTATACTTACTCAATAGAAGCAAAAAAGAACTTCAAAACCTAAATCAAGGCCTATGCCTCTCTCTCTCTCTAGTTTTACCTACAAGAGCCTCTTCTGCACTTAATATCACTTTTCTTTCAAATACAATACTGGAAAGAGGTAAATCATAAAAAGAAAAGAAACATTCCCAGCCATAAAAACAAAAACTGAATGGCACTAGATAAATTTGCTTCAGACTCCAGCAAAAGGCATGGAAAGTATTTAGACATTTTAACGCACATACCTTCAATAATTTTTCTTCCTCTGAGGCAAACACACTAATGGATTGGATGATGCAAGAGCTTTGACTGGAAATTGAATCATTAAGAGATAATCTATAAACTGATCCAGTCAGAAGATTTTGCACTGCTGGAACAGAGGCATAACCAAGGCAATCACTGAAAAGCACAGTGTGGGGTTTTCCGGAAATAGACTGCCTGATGGAGTTCACAGTACTAAGATGACCACCATTACCAAGAGATTGCAGTCCATCAACAACCTATCCAAGTATCGAAACAACAGATAAGACAGAGATGATAGAACAGAAATATTACAATTAGATATACTTTCTTTTCCATGGCAAATAATTTATGGACTTTCACCAAGCAATATATATTCATATAAAAACCATGTTGTCGGGATGATGATTATGGACAGGTTTAATACTCAAAATTAAAACAGAACTGCATATCTTTCTAGCATTGCTTTTGCAGAGCACTCTTCGAAACATAGTGCATTAATCATAGCACAATGCCGATATATTCCCTGCCCAAGCATATATACATATAATAAGAATGTAAAAAACTGAAAACCACAGTGTGGGGTTTTGTAGAAATCGACTGCCTAACGGAGTTCACAGTACCAAGATGACCACCATTACCAAGAGATTGCAGTCCAAGAACAACATTTCCAATTGTCAAAACAACAGATAAGACACAGATGATTGAAAAATTACAATTAGATATACTTTCTTTCTTTTCAATGGCCAATAACTTATGGACTTTCACCAAGCATTTATATTAAAAACTGTGTTGTCAGGAAGATGATTATGGACTTTAATAGTCAAAATTAAAATGGAACTGTCCATCTTCCTAGCATTGGTTTTGCAGGGCGCGCTTCGAAACATAGTGCATTAGTCATAGCACAATGCCGATACATTCCCTGCCCAAGCATATATACATATTATAAAAATATTAAAAGATAGTGTTGCTGGGAAGATGAGTGTTGACAATTTAATTGCCGAAATTATAACATAACTGCTCATATCCCCTGCATTGATATTGCAGGGCACGCTTCAAAACACAGTGTGTTAGTCATAGCACAATGCCGATACATCCCCTGCCTAAGCATATATACAAATTAAAAACCGTGTTGCTGGGAAGATGATTTTGACAATTTTAATTGCCGAAATTAAAACACAACTACTCATCTTCCTAGCATTGATTTTGCAGGGCATGCTTCGTAACAGAGTGCATTAATCATAGCACAATGCCGATACATTCCCTGCAAAGTCGTCTAAAAAGAATCTTGCTGTCTAATGAATAACAAAGAAAACTTAAATCAGGATCTCTGTTATGTGTGTGAGAGAAAGAGGTAGATAGATGTATTCACGGGTTTTAGCAAGTACATTATACACTCTGATATACATACAGATAACTTTTAATATATAACTACATAAAACAACGCACAGAAAAATTTATAGACAATAGAATGCAGCAGGAGAGAACACCAACCAAACTGTTCTTTCTCAACAAAGAAAAAAACAGTCGGATGATTAATTACAAAATTAGGTAAAATAACAGATTCAAATTTAATATAAATTAATCAATAATTTCATCATTAATGGGAAAAATTCATGACCAGTTTGTATTTGATTTTCCAGAACATATAAGATAAAACAGTACCAGCATAGAGACCCCAGAAATATCTATGGCCTTCAAGGAAACAAGCTCAAGAAGTCTCTCAGGAGTGGAAACAAGGAACTCAGGCTCACAACTCTTCAAACTACACAGAAAAGAAAAAAAATCAATGAGAAACGGAAAGAGGAAAAAAATCAGTTCAAATCATTTCAAGCAATAAAAAAAAGCATCAACAATGAAGGTGTGGGCTATTGACAGCTATATTCATACATATGTTCACAAGAGAGCATGCAAATAAGGTAATAAAAAAAAGTAAACCCCAGGAAAATATGCACACAGTGCAAATAAACACACTAACAAAGAGAAAGAGTGAGAACTCCTATGCCATGGATAAGGAATTACGCAACATCCCCTCCCTTAGCCATTATACACACTATTAATAAAAAGCCAAATCATGCATCATGGTCAATTTACTTTACAGCAGCAGCACTAAAATAGTAAATTGCAGCAAATCCAAGTTGTATTCAGCAGTTAGAAGCAAGAATTTCCAAAACAAGAATTGTGATTCTATCACCAGAATATTTGGCATAAGGCTGAATGAAATGAAAGGAGGGAATTTAACATAAAAGTGGGTCTCATGTGTGACACAGCAGCAACTGACATGACGCATAGACAAGATTGTCTAACATTAAAATTAGCTATATCTTATCAGTGACATTAAAAGTACTAGAACAAAAAGTGTGGGTTTTTAGTATAAAATTACCCATTAATCTGGTGATCTAAGGCAGCACCAGGATGCAGACTCACTGTATGAATTCCCAATGGTTTCAAAGGCTTGCAAACTGAGCGTACCTGAGAATGATCAAGGAAGAATCATTAAGCAATAAAAAAGATGGAGAATAAGTTCCCCTATACCAAAGCACCAAAGTCAAAATTCAGTTTAATCAATTCATGAATAAATTTGAAGTCAGAAAAAGTGAGTTTGTTATTACATGGAAATAAAATCATACCAAATTCAATTTATTTTTCACAAATTTGAAAATGAAAAAAAAAAAAAAAAAAAAAGTCACAGGTCTTCCCTTTATTGTATTTGAAATGAATCTGTATCAAATTATGACATATTAAAAGCATTGCCAAAGTACATATTTTAAGTTTAAAGAAAACAAAGCCAACGATAGCATAAAATGCTACCAAAAAAACATGTCAACAAACTAAGTAGCACACCAACCTTAGCAGCTTTTTCTTGAGATGGTACAAGGAATAAAAGGAAGGGGCTGCTGAATGAAAAACCTTCTTTCTCCTTTCTTGCAATATTATCAGCAGCTGTAGAAACCATCCATGCAATTTGCTCAGTGGTAGAAGAAGACCCACTTGTCTCCAATATATCCGTTTCAGAAGAATAACATCTCCAGAAATCAATTCCCCAAGAGTTGACAAACAAAGGCTTTCCCTCCTCAACACTGTAGGTACCCTCATGATGCAATGCATTCTGTATGGCATTCAAGCACAATATAAGAAACTTTGATGGACAGTCAGAGTTTTCAGAGGCTTGTACTTGATGACCATTGGCAAAACCCTTCCCATTCAGCTGAATCTCTGTTCTTCCAAAGTTAATAGGGCTTCTCAGCCCCATATTATCTATAGATGTAATTGACTTTGACTGCTCATTCTTCAAATTTATAACCTTCTTGTTTATTCGTTCTACACAATCTACCATTCCATTGTTCTTGCCATTAGTTCCTTTCTTCAAAATATCACTCTTGCCCTTAACAAATGCCTTCTTATCCGCTTGCAAAGGCATTTTCTTCTTGGTTTCCTTTGTTTGAAATTCCTTCTTACCATGCCTATCATTGAAGGGATCATCAGGGGTAGGAAGGCTAAAACACATCCCCTGCAATATAACGACAAAGTCACATATACTATGTTCCTCAAGGACCTTTCATATTTTCCCTTTGATTCAATAAATCTGTATTTGCTAGCAACAATACTAAAAAACAAAAATAAATAAATAAATAAATAAATAAATACCACAATCAACTGAAGTACTGAACTGTATATTCTCATAGCAATAATTCAAGAATCCAAGTACAAATGTTATCATTATAAAACAATACTAATCATCAAAAAGTACAAAATAACCAATCCAATCGGAAATCGCCACTCATTAATTTTCTTTCACTCTTAATTACACTATCAACTATCAAGTCTAGCAAGCTCTTTCAATAAGCAATAGTCTCAAAAATCAAATGCATTAACAATTTAACATTATCCACCAATCAACTCTGTAAACTATAAAACACTACAGGATCATACAATCTCACTAAATTAAAAAGTAAGAATAAAGTTACACTGTAACATTGCATCACAACTTCAACAATAAATTAAATTTATAAAGCTGCCGCATCATAATCAAATTAGAAGTAGAAAAAACAGTACCTGGCACTGGCGACGTGTACCGGACTTCCGGCGCTTCTTGGCGGCGATAACGGCGGCGACACGAGCGGAAACTTTAGAAGAAGATTCTTTCTTATTGAGTTTCTTCCTCCTGGCTTTGTTCTTCTTCCTCATCACTGAATCGTCGCCTTTTGTCATCTTTACACCAAAAAGAAAGCCAAGGAACGCTTAAGAAATATTATATGTTAGTTTCTGTGTAAATTAAATATTTGTATAGATTTTGTATGTACAGAGAAAGAGAGAAATAAGCGTAGTTCGAGTCGAAGTGAAGGGAAGCGAGGACGGCGGTTTACAAAGAAGACAGTTTCTTTTTTCGTGCTTCGAGTTTATGCACTTTGAGGTAGAGGTGGGGATCAGTGGCAATATGGTGGTTTGAAGGAGTTTTGAGGGTGTTTTAGGTATTTAGTTATTTGAATGATGCAAAGTTGGGCTGATGATGGGCCTAGGGTAATTTTAGTTTTTGGCCCGATTGTTTAACATGAGGGCTGATATTAGGCCTTGGTTAGATGGAACAATTTTAGTCCTTCATGAGTAAAAGTCAATGATTCATTGACAACTAAACAATTAACATTTCATACAAATGAATTAAAAATTTGTAAGTAATATCTATTAAAAACAAATAGTAAGTAATAAGGAAAACTTTAATGGAAAGATTTCCAAGGTTGTATATATAGTTTTATGAAAGATGGGATATGAAATTGTGAATATCTACATATAAATGTTCCAAAAATATGTTTATTATTTGAATTATTATTATTTTTTAATGATCAGAATGTCTAGACTAGCTTCCGCTTACCTCCACTAATCTTCAGTGCCTATTAAACACTTTACAAAGATAATATTTTAGGTAAGTCATAAATGTGATAAGTGACCCTAAGATGATTCGAATACAGAAAATCAATGAACTAGACCAACCCCTTGGGATTATAATTAGAATGTTTTATTCACACTTATTGGTATAAAGATGATATTTTATGTTTTTGGCTGTTTTCTAAAAGTTATCAAGGGATTTAAGACCTAATAGCCGACACAAATAAGATCCTATAACAATCCTATTATTATTTAGATGGTTTTCAATCACTGATAATTTCTATAACATTTTTTTTTTTTTTTTTTTTACCGATTCTCAATAGTCTGAGATAATATTTTTTATAACACCTACTTAGGGAGATATAATGAATCTTACATACATTAATAACTTATATGGTATTTGTTAACTTGGTTTTTGGTTTTAATCAATTGTGATTAGGCTAGAATGTAGTATCTCAAACCGTGGGCTTGGATCGAATGAAAAAGCGGACGTGGGTACGAAGATAGAGCTTTGATACCAACAAAAATAAACAAACAAGCGTTAACATGAACGTAATATGTTTCTTCCATCGAATATTCACTTGACACACTTATTAACGGGACATTTTATTAAAAGACCATATCAAGTTTAAATTTAATTAAAAGATTATAAAATTTTAAAGTGTTAACTAAATAGTTTTATTATTGATTAAAGGTAATTAAACTTGATTAGTGCTTAATAAGGATTAATAAAGTATTGTGTAATCTTTTAAAAATTATACTATATTTCAAAAAACCCGAAATTCTTGCAAACAAATCCAGACACATTCTTCTTCCTCCCGCCATTAACGCATCTCTATCTTGGTTGCTGTTTCTTCTTAGCTTCGTCTACATCTTCTTCTTCCTCTGAATCTTCTTAGCTTCGTCTACATCTTCTTCTTCCTCCTTCCTCTATATCTTCTTGTTCCTCCATTCTCCGCCAAAGATCCGCCTCCTCCTCCTCCTGACATTTCGTCTAAGTATGTGTATTTTATCTTTACATTTTATATTTAGATTTAAAAAGACTTAATAATGGATGGGGTTTGGGTTATGATTTTGATTTATTTATTTAGGTTGTTGGGTTGTGTTTGATGTAATGCAAGTTGAAATGAGTGAAATTTGTTAAATATTTTCTTGCATTGTGGGTAGCTAGGGGTGATAGCACCGATTGTATGAGGAGATGGCTGAAAATGTGTTTTGGATCTGATGAATTGCTTAAGCGGTCTGGTATAAGTTTGGTATATGGTAGCAGATCGCTTAAGCGATCTGGTATATGACAGAAGATCGCTTAAGCAATTTGGTATAAGTCTGGTATATGGTAGCAGATCACTTAAGCAATCAGGCTTATTTGTACTAGATCGCTTAAGCGATATACTGGATCGCTTAAGCGATGCAGTAAGCGATATACTTCGGTGAGAAATTATATTCCATAATGTTTATTTAATATTTAGTCTTTTCCTATTAATTATTTATTATTATTAATTATTTTTTTCATTTCAATAAAATGTGAAAAGAACAATTCGGTCTTTGTCAATTAGCACCGTACATAAAATTGAAAGATCTATTGTTATTCTATTATTTTTGTTAGTTCTTCGCAAGAAAGTAATATAAAAAAAATATAATATTGATATAAAATTGAACTCTGCAACCATCTGCTCTGCACTCTGTAGACTAAGGCTAAATAGACAGGATCGCTTAGGCGATTAAGGGTAATTTACTTCAATATTTTTTTTTCCATGTTTATGGACATATGTTTAATATAGACGTAAAAGAACTAATTTAATTAAAATGTAATAACGGTCATGGTCCACTAAACGAACCGTACACCTGATATGTTTAATATAGACGTAAACATTCTACACCATATATGTTTAATATAGCTGTAAAAGAGCTAATTTATTTAAAATATAATAACAGTCGTGGTCCACTGAACGAATCGTATACCTGATATGTTTAATATAGACGTAAACATTCTACACCATATATGTTTAATATAGTCGTAAAAGAACTAATTTAATTAAAATATAATAACAGTCATGGTCCACTGAACGAACCGTACACCTGATATATTTAATATAGACCTAAACATTCTACACCATATATATTTAATATAAACATAAAAGAACTAATTTAATTAAAATATAATAACAGTCATGGTCCACTGAACGAATCGTACACCTGATATGTTTAATATAGACATAAACATTCTACGCCATATGTGTTTAATATAGCCGTAAAAGAACTAATTTAATTAAAATATAATAACGTTTATGGTCCACTGAACGAATCGTACACCTGATATGTTTAATATAGACGTAAACATTCTACACCATATATGTTTAATATAGCCGTAAAAGAACTAATTTAATTAAAATATAATAACGGTCATGGTCCACTGAACGAATCGTACACCTGATATGTTTAATATAGACGTAAACATTCTACACCATATATGTTTAATATAGCCGTAAAAGAACTAATTTAATTAAAATATAATAANTTACTCTTTCTTGAAAATTCCACCTTTATCCTTTAATTCTTTACAAACTCACCCCCATTTTACACTATTCTCCATGAAATTTCCTTACATTTTACTCCCCACTTTTCTTGCTAATTAGGGGTAGAAAGGTCATTTTACCCCTATGGAGAATTCTCTATAAACCTCAAGAAACTTTTCTCCCATCTCGTTGCCACGGCGAAGAACTTTCTGTCGCCCTAGCGAAACATTCCAGAACCAACACCGCCAAACACAAAGCCAATGTTGCCGCGGCAAAGCTTCTTCCTCGCCTCGGCAAAGGCTGCAACTCCAAAATCTGCCAAGTCTTGATCAATTCCATGGTAAACACTCAACTAAACCCAAAACATAAACTCAACCAAGGGCCAACCAAACAACATGAACAATATACAAACTCATTTAGGAGCAATTCAGTAACCCTTTAGGCCATACCATAAACAATGGCTACGTATCTCAAGTGGGGCGTTAAATTCTCCCCCCCTTAAAAGAATTTCGTCCCCAAAATTCAAATGAACACTCCGAGTAATGGTTCTGCATACCTTGCTTTACCTCCCATACTTTCACTAGAGGGAAATTCTTGTTTTGGAGTTCCTTGATCTCTCTATCCAATATTTAAACTGGATGCCCCTCAAACTTAGGATTCCCAATCTTTATACGCAATAGTCAAAACATGGGAGGGATCACTTGTATACTTTCGAAGCATCGAAATATAAAACACATTATATACTCTCGTCCATACTAGGGGGTAGTGTCCAGCACCTTTCCCACTCATTATAATATCTCAAATGGACTTCTGTACCTCGATGCTAACTTTCCGCTGCTATTAAACACGTTACCCGGTTGTAGGGGGAAAAATCTTAAAAAGACTCTAACACCCACTCCGAATTCGATAACTTTTCTCTTCAAATCTGCCAAATTTTCTATTATGCTTGGGCTTGATTTATTCTATTTCTGATTAACTTTATCTCTTCAAACAATTCCTGAGTCATTTCTAGCCCAAGAACTGTAATTTACTCATCTTTCTTGCCTACACATCGGCTGAATTCTTAACATGGCAATCCTTGCTGAAATTATTTCAATCTTCATACTTTTGATCTAGCTCTAACCATCTCTTATGCCTCATACTCAACTCCCTCTAAGTAAGGAGATACATTAAACTCTTAGGGTTGGTGTAGATCTTACTCTAGGCACCATAAAAGTAATACCTCTGAACTTCAGGGTAAAGACTACTATAAACTGAGCAAGGCAATTAAGAAACACCCTGATTATAACCTGTCCTCAATCATTCTTGGAAAATACTATTGTACTCCTTAACTGGTCTAAAGATCATCCGTCCATGGTAACAGGCATTTATTCTTCACTATCGGTTATTTATTTCTCTGTCATCACTACACATCCGTAATGACCCTTCTTTCTTCTTTACAAACAAGATCGGAGCTCCCTAGGGAGAATGACTCAATCGGATAAGACCTTTATCTAAGAACTCTTGAAGATGCTTCTTTAATTCTTGAAGCTTGATAAGACCTTTATTTAAGAACTCTTGAAGATGCTTCTTTAATTCTTGAAGCTTGGTTGGGGCCACTAGATAAGGGAGTTTAGTAATCGGTGCTGTCCCCGGTGCCAGTTCAACACTAACTCAACTGCTCTTTTTGGAGATAAGCTCGATAACTCTTTCAGAAATACCTCTAAAATTTCTCAGACTATTGGCACACTCTGAATCTCTGGTTATGGGACATCACTACTTAGCACCACATGAACTATCTGTTCAGAACACCCTTTTCTTAATGTCTCTCTAGCTTTCACACTACTGCTCAACATACTGAACTAATGGCCTGCTATATTCTGGAAATGATATTATGATTGAATCTCACTCTTCCCTCGCCTCTACTCCATAACTCCAAAAACATCCAAGTAGGGCAAAGGATACTAGCTAATCAATTGTTAACTCTCTTTCATGGATCACTACAAACTTTCCTAAATAAATTTTCCCTTCTCTCAAACTTCAC